TTTCTTTCATTTTTTCATTCAATTTTTTTCCAAATTTCTTTTTCTATTTCTCTTCCCTCAAAAACCTTCATTTGAATTATCCCTTCGCTCTCATATTTCTTTCGTTCCCCTCTTGTTGTCACATTCCATTTCCTCGTCTAACCTCTTTGTCTCATGTAAGGGTGTTCAAATTTTTGATTGGCCGCAATTTTCTATTCTACCCTACTGTAAAACTAGTTACAAAAAATCAAATAGGAATGTGAAAGAGTTTGTGGTTTTTCGATTAAATCGAGTAGAAATGTGAAAATACCCATCAATTTCTGCATTTCTACTCTACCTTACCCTCAAAAAATATATTTAACTTTTTTATATATTTTTTTAGTAATTATAAGAGTATTTGTGTAGTATAATTTATATTATAACATTATTATTGTTGTAGATGTTTGAGTTGTTAAAACATGACCTTATTTTTTGTGTAGGTTATATGATTTGTGGTAAACTAGTGATATATTAGAGCAGTTATGATTTTAATATATTTCATATGGTTTAAAATTAAAATAATTGTTATTGTATTTGTGTAACAATTATGATGGATTGATGTTCATATTTTTTTTGTATTTTATTGTAATTGTTGTTATAGTTGTTTTAAGTTTTAGTGTTATTAATTTATTGTGTTGTTAAATTGGTGCATGTTATTTAATTTAATTGTTAAAATGATCCAAAAATTAATAGTTACAAAAGTATTTATCCGACTTTTTACCCGATTAATCGAGTAGGAAGTCAGGTAAGAATACTACACCTGATCGGATAGGATAGGCCATGAAAAAATTCTTCCGCAAAATATCGGGTAAGAAAACGAAAGACTATATTTTTTACCTGTATGATAGGGTGAACACCCCTAGTCCCACGGAACTGAAACAGAAAAAAACCAAATCAATTGACCACTAATTCCACTAGGATGAAAGCACACACAAGTGTCAATCTATCAAATATTACAAGTAGGAAATTAAATTTTTAATTTTTAAAAACATTACAATTGTCAAGATTTATCCAAATTTTATTTACTTTAATCTAGTTGTACAAAATTCATTCATTTTCTTGACATTACCTCTAATCTCATACAATTCCATCAATACACTTCTCCGTACCAAATAACTCCTCTAATATATACGTATTAGTTTGACAAAAAAAAAAAAGCCAACAATCATTTCAACCATGTAATAGGCCAGCCCAACTCATGGCCCACTATGTTATTAGGCTTTCATGCCTGTCAATGGGCCCATGAAGAACGCTTTTTGTTGGTGCTATGGAAATTGCAAGAACCACTTGCCCATTTTTTTTTTTTTTTTGGGATAATTTGAAAGTCGGTATAAAAATTTAAACTTATTTGAATTAAACTAAATTAATAAAAATTATTTTTTTCTAAGTGCATTTTTTTGAAAAAAAACTAGAAGGTCTTTTATTACTCAATTACTCTCTCTCCCCCTTTCTCCATTACTCTCTTTTTCTATTACATTGATAATTTATTTTATTTTTTTAATATATAAAAATTTGATTTAATTTTTTTATCTCTCTCCCTTATTTTGTCTCTCTCTCTCACCCTCTCTTCCCTTATTTCATTGTTCTCTCTCTTTATATCAATGATACAACAATACAACTACACTTATCAGTTACACCAATTAGTTACAATTATCCTATAATACACCAAACAGTTACTCATGTATTCTAATAAACCAAACAGTTACATTAAACAATTATACGAAATTATAATATTAACCCAATTTATCATTCAGTTATTTACATAAATCAAATAGTTATACTATTTAGTATCACGACATGATTCTACTAATTATAAATACCAAATTGGATTTATCATTATATAAAAGACTTTACTATTATACTAAATTTGGTATATATAGTTAATGTAACGATATTGCAATACTAAATAGTGTAACTATTTAGTTTATGTAAATAACTAAATGATAAATTGAGTTAGTGTTATAATTTTATGTAATTGTTTGGTTTATTAGAACTTATGAGTAACTATTTGACATATTATAAGATAATTGTAACTGATTGGTGTAACTGATTAGTCTAATTGTGTTGTTATAATGTTAATATAAATAGAGATAGAAAGAAAATAGAGAGAGAGAGAGAAACGGTTAGGAAAAATAAGAGGAGAGAGAGATAGATGAAAAAATAAATCAAATCTTTACATATTTAAAAAAGAAAATAAATTAGCAATAATAAATAGAGAAAAAATAAGAGAGAGATGAGAAAAATAACGGGAAGAGAGACAGATAGAGAGAAAATAGGAGAGAGATAGTGAGAGAGTGTAATAAAATCTTTACATATTTGATTAGATATATAACTATCAATCAAGAATGCATAACTTAAATGAAGATATTTAGATAAAAAAGTTTTGATTTCATTTAAATTTTGTATTTAAACACAATATATTTTATTAAAATTGAACTTAATAGATTAAACAACTTATTCATACACTTTTTCTTAAATAAGTCTAGAAAATTATACCTAATGTCAAAAAACTTTTTTTTTTTAAATTTTTTCACTATCGAGTCGGATTATGGCTCTTTAGCTACTGAGAAGTGCTAAGGGGTGCAATCTAACATCTATATTATATTTGAAAGTGTTAGTTAAAATTTGGTTGTTGTTGATGTGGAATTCTAGAGAGTTTCTGGTCCAGTTAGCCAACGATGACCTAAAACGAAAATTGGTGGTAGATGTAGATTTAAGATCGACCCATCCATTACTTAAGAAAGTTTCGTATTTTTCAAAACTCAAATTGCGTATTATTACATCATTTTAGAGTTTTTATAATTTTGTCCCAACGATTTGATTGGTGAGGATTGATGTTCGATAAATTAAGATTAGGTCCTAATATTTATCTATCGACTTAATCCTTATGTACCCACCACTTGGACTTTCCCCTCCATGATTTATTTACATTATCCTTCTCTAGTTTTAAATCAGGAGAGTTAAGGGTTGTTTGTATAATTACCTATCAACCATTTTTTCTCTGCTACGTGGAAGAGATAAAGCTACGGATAGCCACAAAAAANCAATACTAAATAGTGTAACTATTTAGTTTATGTAAATAACTAAATGATAAATTGAGTTAGTGTTATAATTTTATGTAATTGTTTGGTTTATTAGAACTTATGAGTAACTATTTGACATATTATAAGATAATTGTAACTGATTGGTGTAACTGATTAGTCTAATTGTGTTGTTATAATGTTAATATAAATAGAGATAGAAAGAAAATAGAGAGAGAGAGAGAGAGAAACGGTTAGGAAAAATAAGAGGAGAGAGAGATAGATGAAAAAATAAATCAAATCTTTACATATTTAAAAAAGAAAATAAATTAGCAATAATAAATAGAGAAAAAATAAGAGAGAGATGAGAAAAATAACGGGAAGAGAGACAGATAGAGAGAAAATAGGAGAGAGATAGTGAGAGAGTGTAATGAAATCTTTACATATTTGATTAGATATATAACTATCAATCAAGAATGCATAATTTAAATAAAGATATTTAGATAAAAAAGTTTTGATTTCATTTAAATTTTGTATTTAAACACAATATATTTTATTAAAATTGAACTTAATAGATTAAACAACTTATTCATACACTTTTTCTTAAATAAGTCTAGAAAATTATACCTAATGTCAAAAAACTTTTTTTTTTTAAATTTTTTCACTATCGAGTCGGATTATGGCTCTTTAGCTACTGAGAAGTGCTAAGGGGTGCAATCTAACATCTATATTATATTTGAAAGTGTTAGTTAAAATTTGGTTGTTGTTGATGTGGAATTCTAGAGAGTTTCTGGTCCAGTTAGCCAACGATGACCTAAAACGAAAATTGGTGGTAGATGTAGATTTAAGATCGACCCATCCATTACTTAAGAAAGTTTCGTATTTTTCAAAACTCAAATTGCGTATTATTACATCATTTTAGAGTTTTTATAATTTTGTCCCAACGATTTGATTGGTGAGGATTGATGTTCGATAAATTAAGATTAGGTCCTAATATTTATCTATCGACTTAATCCTTATGTACCCACCACTTGGACTTTCCCCTCCATGATTTATTTACATTATCCTTCTCTAGTTTTAAATCAGGAGAGTTAAGGGTTGTTTGTATAATTACCTATCAACCATTTTTTCTCTGCTACGTGGAAGAGATAAAGCTACGGATAGCCACAAAAAAGTAGTGGTACAGTGTTGGACAAGCTAGACGACGACCCAAAAAAATGACGAAGTGCAAACGTATCGTGCAACAAAGTCAATTAATTTTTTTAATTTATAAAAATATAATAATAATTAAAATTAATTCATTTTATCTACTTCAAATATATAGTATAAAATTCATTCTAAATTTATTTTTTGGGTAAAAAATATTGGCCCCTAATAACAGACACCCGCACTCATTTATATTTACATTTCTCATCTCTCTTACATCTGTCATTTTCTCTATCTTCACTTTTCATATTAAAGAAAAGTAAAAAAAATTATATTACTATTTAAAGTATAAATATTGCATTAATATAAGTATAAAAACTATATTACTTTTCCTTGATAATGCGACCGACCAAATTTTATTTTATTAAATTCGGTCCAACTTATGAGGAATTTTTTTTTTTTTTATCACATGGGAGCTACAACACTTCTATTTAAAAGCATAAGTGAGGCAATCTCTCCATAACTTACACACACACCCAAAGTGGGACAGCCTCAATCGATCACAACTTATGAGAGATTCACCAATGAACTTCTATATGCAATGTTACGTGAATTTAAAATTTTGATTTGATCAATTATTGTTATTAATTTAATTGATCTCAGTATTTATTAAAATTCATTATCTATTCAATAATTGTGAGTAATTAAGTCAGTATTTTAAGTTCAAATAACATTTTCAACTTCTATTGCATAGTTTTGAGTTTATATTAAATTAATTCGGCAGAATATTGAGAAAAATGACGCAACAAATGAGAACATTTGTGTATATATATAATACAAGAAAACGCATGTATTACATCTCACACTCTTCTTCTCTTCCTATCATTCTCTCTAAAAATTAGTTCAGATGACAGAGAAAAGCAAGATTTTAGTAATCGGAGGGACTGGTTATGTCGGAAAATTCTTAGTGGAGGAAAGTGCAAAAACTAGGCACCCAACTTTTGCACTGGTCAGAGAAAGCACCACCTCAGATCCTGACAAGTCAAAAATCATAGAGAGCTTCAAAAGTTCTGGGGTTACAGTGATTTTTGTATGTAATTAGCAAACAAGAATTAAAGTTTTGAATATTCGTCTGTTTTTTTTTTATGAGTTTTTTTTTTCAAGGAGCAACTAATATTCTGATAATGAGATGTTGATTATTTTTTTAGGGAGATATCTACAATCATGAGCGCTTGGTCAGCATAATCAAGCAAGTTGATGTGGTGATCTCTGCGGTCGCGGGACAACAGAGTGCCGATCAAGTGAACATCATTGCAGCCATTAAAGAAGCTGGAAACATCAAGGCAAGTAATTTGGCCATTGAATATCTTCAATTCTCAACACATCCTCTGTTACAAAAGGAGGCAAACGATGTTGTTTTGTTAAATAGAACGACTGCCTCTGGAGCCAAACCCTCCTCTGTTATTTTCTATGGTAAAAGTTTCTAACTGTAAAACATGATGAGTTTCAGAGATTTCTACCTTCAGAATTCGGATTCGACACGGACAAGATCCATGCGGTTGAGCCAGCTGCAAGCGTGTTTAAGATCAAGACTCAGATTCGAAGGACTATCGAGGCTGAGGGAATTCCTTACACTTACGCGGCGTGCAACGCTCTTGCTACTTACTTTCTTCGTAACCTGGGACAATTGGATGAAACCACTACTCCTCCTAGAGACAAAGTAGTAATTCTTGGAGATGGAAATTCCAAAGGTAATAAAAAAAATAAAACAGTAGAATCGATTGAAACAGATAAGTAGACAATAAATTTTCGATTGAAACAGATAAGTAGACAGTAAATGATCCGATGAAAAAGATCACTAAGAAACTTTAGTTATTGATAGTAGAATCGATTGAAACAGATAAGTAGACAGTAAACAATTGGTTTTAGATGGATTAACTTTATTTTATTCTCTATCTTCAAGCAATTTTTGTGAAGGAGGAAGATGTAGCAACATACACCATCAAAGCTGTGGACGACCCTCGAACCTTGAACAAGCTCCTTTACATGAGCCCCCCTGCCAACATATTGTCCTTCAATGAGTTGGTCTCCCTGTGGGAGAACAAGATTGGCAAGACCCTTGAGAGGACATATATCCTGGAGGATCAACTCCTCAAGAACATCGAAGGTGAGTAACAACTATTCTGCCAATCCTAATCGTACTTCCATGTCAATTTTCCTCTGTTATATATCATTCCAATTAAGTTTTGCGATAATTTTTGACGAATTGGAGTTGATGGTAGTCGGAAATAGGCTCATATAAATCATACCTGATCATCTTCTTACTGGTTTTGGTGCAGAGGCTCCAATGCCCTTAAAGTTCCTTTTGTCCATCTGCTATGCTGCTTTCGTAAAAGGAGATGTTTCAAAGATTGAGGTTGATGCTTCTGTGAGTGTAGAGGCCTCTCAGCTCTATCCAGAGGTGAAATACACAACTGTGGACGAATTCCTCAATCAGTTCGTCTAAGATCCAGCACGGAGACTCAATTCTCTGCCTTTGCTTCAGCTTTAATAATCTTAATAAATCTTCTGTGTAAAATGCTGTACTTCATAGTTTTTTGTATTGAAACAATGAATTTTGAATCTTGTGTTTAAGCAAATATGAAACAATATCAAACAACCAGACTCGTGCTTCGAAACAAGGACTACACTTTTCCAAAAGGATTTGACTGTTCAAGATCATAAATGAATAGACAAATAAAAAAATAGTGTTCGAATAACTTATTAAAATCATTTTAAAATATTGTTAAAAACACTTCTACGCAGAAGACTTTCCATTTTACATTTTATCATCACCACAGCCACCAACACCACCACCATTACCATTACCATTACCGATACCACCACACTTGTCATTTGAAGTTTGTTCTCTCTATATATCGCAGATCCCATGTACAACAAGGTGTTGTACTTTATCGGTGTCGAAACAAACGCAAAAATTTCAATGAGACATTTTGCATTGTCGTCTAACCTACTCTTCTTTATTTATTTAATTTTTCTTTTTATAGATTTAGACAACCTACTCTGTTATTGCTTTCTTAATATACACATAAATGAGAGCAAATTGATTAGACTAAATCTCATGCTAGAACTTGATTACTGCATTAAAAAACAAAAATTGGTATGTATCTTAAAATTTAAAATAGGTGTATTTTATAACTTTTGTGGATCATTTTATAATAAAAAAATTTCAGCCATATTTTTTCTAATTTATTATATTTTTAAAGAATCCCTTTATTTTGTTTCAATGTAAAATTATTTCAATTGATATAAAACGGACAAAATGAGCATAATAATAATAATAATAATAATGTTGTGAAGAGGAAGAGAGCAAGAAGCTTCCTTGACGTGAATGGAGGTTGCAGAGACCTTGACTTGAAGTCTTGGCGTCGTCTTAGCTTACGCGTCTTTATAATAGCCAAGTCACCTCTGGGGCCCACATGTGAAAAATAATTAACAAATTAAGATTTTTATGCGGCCAATTTTTTTTTAATTTTATGGTCTGTTTTTGTGGATAAGCTTTGACACTGTTATCTAATTTTTAATATCACTTATTATTTTTGAGTGTTTATATTAATTTTTGAGTGTAATTTATTAACTTTTCATATTTGCTTACTTACTTCTAGGTAAAAGTTGTGACTTTTTAGATTGAAACTTTCAATCGTTTGAATTTTTTTTTTTTAACTTTCTCAAATGGTATAGAAAATTGAATGGCAGTACAGTATTGTTTTCACATCTTTTTTGGTATGTTTGACATGGTACAAAAATATGATGTATAAAAAGCAGACGATGGAAAATATATTAATGTGAAGGATGATTTTTCATGAGTCGTTGTACAGCATGTGATTACATTTCTAAAATCATTACACGTCGAAGCATCATAATATTAACTGAGTTTAGTTTGTCGTTAGAACTAGTCGAGCTTGAACTCAAGTAAAACTTTAACACTCAAAACTTAAATTCTTCCTCAAGCTTGGTATAACGTATGATATAAGTTTGCAAGCATTTAAGCAAGAATTGAGCTGAAATTGAGTTCAAATGTTTTTAAAATTTCAAAAATTAAACTATTAATTTATTAACAAAAATGCCTCAAAAATTATACAACCAGCCATAAATTCGTTTTTCTTTAGGTTAATCAACCATAAAATTCAAACTAAAGGTTCATTTTTGTTTCAAAAATCTATTAAAAAAAAAAAAGCAGACAGAAATTCATATAGTTTGATTCTAAGTTTGAAACTAATTGAGGCTCTTTAATTTTGACGAAGCACAAATTGGTTTTGCACATTACCTGTCAAGTGATCAGTAATAAATATAGTAATAAAGTTGAGAGAAATAATAAGTTAAACGAGACAAGAATTTATAGTGGTTCAGTCAACGTGACCTACGTCCACTGTCAGGGGATTGGATGACCTGATGTTTTATTATTTCGAGGAGTGTAGGGAGAGCATGGAGATACAAGCTATGAGACAGAGAGGAGAGTGATAGTAGATGTGCTCAATTGAGTATGATGCCCCTAAGTGTTGGCAAAACTTACAATTTATAGTCGTCTCATCAGTAACTAAAAGGCTAATTTGATGGAGTTGATGTCATCTTTTTAATGGATGAGTCAGTTACAGCGCTTCCCAAAAAATTCGGTCAAAGGATGATGTAGTGGACTGNTGATGTCATCTTTTTAATGGATGAGTCAGTTACAGCGCTTCCCAAAAAATTCGGTCAAAGGATGATGTAGTGGACTGATGATTGACTTCTTCCAATGCAGCATGGATGAAGCTCTTAGATGACCCTTACTCTAAAGTGAATAGGATAAAGCTCTTGGATTGACCTTTACTCCAAACTGGCTAGAATGACCCTTCATCCTCTCTTTGTGATGTAGCTTCTCGAACCTTGATGAGTTTGATTAGGCATGAACCTCATTTGGGCTAGACCTATTAGATCTTGTCTAGTTGGACTGTTTAATTAGGCCAGACTTACAACATGAATTGGACCCTCAGGTCTGGCCATCAAATTTGATGTCTCTTTGTTTTCTAATAAATGGCTCCTGGGCATCAAGAGATTTTATAGTTTTTGAAGTCAGGAGATTCAATTACTAAACTATCAAGAAATATTTGGCCAACTTATGCTTTGACCTCTCGACTTTGTCCCTATCTCGCATCATACTCCTAACTATTATGTTTCTCATATTCTACTCCGACCATTGTTGGTGAAGCTAGTCAAGGCCAACACAACGCAAATCACTAACATTCACCTTAATAACAAACTGTCATATGAAAATTTAAACTAAAAGATAACTACTATAACGGGTTCTCTCTTCTTTTGATCTCCTTCTTCTTTATTTCTTCTCTTATATATTAGCAGCAACCCCTTGCAATGCACATAATTTGCACACATTTCCTTCCTTTTCCGTCTTTCTTCCCCTTCCCGTTCCTTTTTATTTTTTTTCTGGTTATCGTATAATTTGAAAAGCTAAATACAAAATTATTAAAAATTAGGGTGATAAAATAAATATGAAAAGTTAGAGTGGTAATTTCAGGCCTGCTTGACTCACCCATTGAAGCCTCGGACCTGCAAGCCTATATATCGTTTCTGGTTAGTGTTCTTCCTAGTTGTCTTTTTGGAAAGCTCCGATGCCACTCGTACCCATACAGTGTAAAGAGTTTTGAGTTCAAATTTTCCCGCAAACGCTAAGCCTTCACGAAGAGAGAAATGAAACACAAACTTCTATATCGCTAGTCAAACGCCATCTCCAATGACACTAATAAATACAATTGAAATGGAAAACAAAAGAATTTATGAAAGAAAGATCAAAGAAAACATAGATAAAGATACTGATGTAGGTATGAGAATATCTCGATTGATGAATTGGGCATCCACCTTTTCTTGCTCATCGTACAGAAGACAAATTCCAATCTCCTTACCTCCAAGCCATCCATTAAAATGGAAACACTCAGTTTATCGACAGGTTTGAACTGAAACCTAAGCTTCCAATGACTTAACCACATCATACATCAGTCTGGTTCCGAAAATCCCAAAAATGTTGGTTTATAAATCACCTTATTCTTGATCCCGTTATTGATTTCTGCTTCAATACATTCTCCACCCATCCAGTGGTGTTTATCATTCGCATAAACACAACACGTACTCAACTTGTGAATTTTAAGATTAAGAGTTGAAGGGATGGTAAAAGATATCGAGTACCCTGCTTTTGAATTGATGAACCAACCTGGAACATTACTACTAGGTAGAAATGTGCTGAATATTCCTTCTTCGAGTAGTACCTGTGCCATGAAAAGTAGAGTTTTGCCTGTTACAGTTACAAATATACACAATTGAGAGAGAAAGAGAGAGTGGGAGGGGAGGGAGAGAGCACTTGAATGGGGAGCTTATTTTTCGTTGATGTTACCGTACTGCACAATTCCACCTTACTGCTTCCGATGGATTCCATGTTAGCTAAACCCAAATTTTTGATTGTATTTGCATCAAAATTTTCTATGGGTTCTAACTTAAAACGACCTTGCAGCTCAACTAGATTCTCGCAAAAACCTATGTCGAATAAGGGTTCAGATGCCACAGGTGATGCATAGGTTACTTTTTCCAACAATGGGCAACCTCTAATACATAAGTAGGATTCTATGAAGGGTGGCCCCGCAAGTGTATGTAGCTCTTTACACCATTATATGTCCAATGTATGGAGACTTTTAAGACTTCGGACACAGTCTGGTAGGTTTCGAATTGGATTGGCACTTAGATTTAGATACCGCAACAAGGGTAAGTCTTTAAAACTCTTAGGAAAAACACCATCCTGTAGATTGCATCCTGCAACACTTAAGTTTACCAATGAAGGTGGAAGCAACAAAGTTGGACTGTAATCCACAGGGCATTTGGTTGGAAATAGGTTGAATGGGTTGACCAGTTCTACTCCATTACCTCGAAACACTTTAAGGGAATGCATCCCTCTTAGATCTGGACATTGAGCAACCAGAAATATTTAACGTTTCAAGAGATCTAGGTATGTCAAAATTTCTTGAAAACTTCTTCAGATTTTTACAAATTTTCAGATTCAGGAAAACAAGTCTCCGAAGTCTTGAAATTGATTCATGAACTTCAACTAAATTTTCACAATCACTTAGGATTAATCTCTCAAGACTAGGCAACCCCAAGAAATTGGGGGTTGTAGTGAGGTCATGGCAATGTCCGAGGTCAAGGATTTTTAAGAACCTAAGAATCTGTTAAAAGATCAACAAATAGGGAAGTTGATATCAGAGACATGCAAATGATAGCTGATGAGTGGGTTTTATACCTACGAATTAAGTACTTTCGGGTTGATAAAATTGCAAGTTTTCAATTATTTTATGTTCATTTTTATTTATTTTGTGTGTTTTGATGTTATTTCGTAGGGATGATAGTTTAGAAGGAATCATAATTATTTGGGAGGAAGCAAGGTTAATTGGGAGCCTAAAGGTTATATTTTTGGAAGAGGAAGCTAAAGGGTATTTTAGGCCTAAAAGGGGGGGCGCACTCCAGTGCCAATTTGGGCACCCCAGCACCCACATACTGTCCAATTGGCTCCCCTGCACTGATTTCTAGCGCCCCCGCGCTTGTGTTGGTCCGTGACACAAATTTTACCTTATTTTTGACTCGAAATTGGACTCTAAAACTACATATATTCTAGGGTTTGTATGGGGAAAGGATATTCTGACTTCTGGGGGCTGAAAACATCTGAAAAGACCAAAGAATTGGAAGAAAATTGAAGACAAGAATCGAAGAAATCGACACAAAGAAGATTGGACTTGAAAGCTAGAAAATTATTGAAGATTGCAACTAAGTTTTCATTCTTTTCTTTTATTTTTAATTCTAGATTCTCTAAGATGTTGTTCAATTCTAGAATGATGTTCTTCAATTACATTATGAAATAAATATTTATT